CTGGTCTGGGGAATATATGTACCGAGAAAAGAAAAGTTAAAAACATTGCAATAATGAGGATGAGGATTCTAGATTTCTAGGTGCTTTTTTTTTTTTTTAACCCGCAGATTTCTAGATACTTTACAGTTACCCTTACAAAAGGTTGGTTAAAAAAAAAAAACAGAGACGGCCGCAAGAGAGATAAATATACCACCCGTTTCAATGTATTCCTCCTGTCCTTAATATAAGACTCATTTAACTAATTTGATTAGATTAAGGAAGTTAGATAAGTTAGTTAACTATAAGAAATGTGACACATTTCTTCTAAAATACCATAATCATCTTTCTTAATACCTTCTCTCCCTCTTCTACTTAATTATAGTTGATGAAGTATCTATAAGGGCAATTTAGAGAAAATTGATAAATATGAGAAATGAGTCTTATATTTAGGATCAAAATCAACTCAACAATTGGGTCCTATATTAAGGACCGGAGGAGTACTATATTTTATTATTTTTAATTAAATTATGTTATTTTATATGATTGGTTTAACTTTAAGTTGATTATAATCTAACCTATTTACTTTTAAATCATTATCTCGATTGGTTTAGTATTTAGTCTTTTTTTTCCCTTAATTATTACTAACTGGACTAAGATCTCAGTGACCATGAACTAGTATTTTGCCCAATGGCAGGTTTTGTTTTTGGTAAAATCCTAAAAAAAATGAGGGATAAAGCTTTTCCTCTGCAGGGGCCTTGTGCAGTAAACTCCCCATGAGTGGTTGTCTGTCGTCGTAAAGTAGTCCCCGCGAAGCTTTTGGGATCTTCTGCGCAAGCCTAGCATTTCTGGTCGAGCCCGCCCAATTGTTGAATTTTAAAATTTTAAATCGGTATTAACTACTATATTAAAAAATGACTATATTAAAAAGCAAATAACAATATATTTTTATAATAATTTCTGATTTAAAATTTTAAAATTCAACTGTTTTTTTTTTATTTTCTCCTTGTTTTTCCTTTCTTGAAAAATAAATAAATAAGATGTGGGCCGCAGAAATTTTTTTTTTACCATTCTTTCTATAAATAAATACAAGCTAAAGTGGCGCCTACTACCCACATATTAATTTATTTTGCACCCAACGCTTTTTTTTTTAATTTTACTTCCAATGCCATAATTTTATTTATAATGCATCAAATATGATAGACCATAAATACAATTAGGGTGTTCAGTAAAAATGAAAAAATAAAATCAAGATACCGGATGCACCAAAAATATAACATGTACACCTAAAAAATAAGATTAAGATACTGAATATTACTTTATTTATAAATAAATGCATATTATTGAAAAATCGAATACATAAATGCTTGATTGTAGAGAGAAATCTCCCTCATTTGGCAAAATTGAAGAGGAGGGGGGCCAAAATCTCCTCTACGGTGCTCTTATTGGCTCCCCCTCAAATTTAGTTTTTTAGGGGACAAAACTTATTGACTATTTTTCTTTTTGTAATTTTTGTCACATTCTATTAATATTCATAAAAAATATTTTACTTGGCTTATCCGCTGAAACCTTAATATTTTTCAGGATGCTAAGATATTTCTATCACAGTATTCATAGTGCCCAGCATTTTCATGAAGCATTTTATTTCCGCAATTGCCCTTGCCGTCTTGTGTTCTTCTGATTTCTGACAGAACATAGGCTGTCATAATTTTCTTTCAATTAAAAAAAAAACCATTTTGTCTTATTGTACTTGCTATCTATTTCCTGAATTGAATCTGTTAATTTCTTTTAATGCAATAATGTCTTCATGCATGCATGTGCTTATTGGATTATTGGGATACTTTATTGTTCAGAGTACAGGGAAACAAGGTAAAAAAAAAAAAAAAAAGAGCACAGGGAAACAAAAAGGCTTATTTATTTAATGCATATATACTACCTTTGGTCCTTAATATAAAACTTTGTTTGATTTTTATTTTGGTCATAAATATAAGACCGCAATCTACTTTGTCTATCTTATTTATATTTTTTTTTCAAAGTAGCCCTTCTAATAATGATAGTTCTAGTCAATACATTAATTAGCAAGGATATTTTAGGAAAGACAATACCTATTTAGGACAAATAACGAACTCAACTTACTTCCTTAATCTCTTCAAATTAGTCAACTGGCTCTTATAATTAGGACCGGAGGTAGTATGTCTTAAATATTTCATGTATAAATTTATCACTCAATTTTTAAAAGAATTTCATATTATCAATGAATTTAATTTGTCACATTTACTGCAATAAATTTATATTGATTGCTCGTGTTATATTTCTCTGGCCAAGAATGCTCACGTAAATATCACCCAAAAAAATGCTCACTTAAATTTTTATTTTAATTTTAGTCTCTTAATTTTATAAAGTGCTTTTTTATTTAACCCTCACGTATTAAATACGTTGATATTGAAATTTCAAATGTTGACAAAACATTTCTTAAATACTTGACTCAAAAATTCATCATTTCAAACTCATCGTGCTAGTGTTAAAAGACTCAAGCAAGCAAGCGCAAACCATGTATAAACTTAAAAAAGTAAAAATATATTTTTATCTTTTTTCTTCTTCTTTTTTTGGGTAAAAATGAATTTATAGTTTATACTTCCTCCCAGGCTGACTTTACCGCATTTAGGACAATTATTATCATTGATTTCCATATCCCGTTCACCGTACGAATCAATCATCCACAACCCAAGTTGACAAACTTTTAATAAAACCTTCTGGATTAATAGGATCTTAGTAAATTTATTAAATAGTAATAAATACGGATTAATGCCTAACCCTTAACAGGCAGAACTAATATGGAATTGACCGATGATTCAGTTTTGTAATAATCGCATTAATCCAAAAGGTTAAAGGATGGAGAAATTATCACTGCCTATTATTTGAATGCCACGTCATTCATATGGATAGAAAGTGTAAGATAAAGTCGGTATTATCCTTATACCTAATTCCGAATTAAAAACTATCTAACAGCATTATTCCTACTTATTCCTACTCTTTCGGATAAATGTTTAAAAAAAATGTGGAGGAAAAAATATAAAATCTTAATAATTCTTTTTTTCAAATTGGCCAAAAACGTGTTTTTTTTTCCCGTGTTCTGATGTTCACGAGCCGCCAATGGGGTGGGGGATCTGTCTGCATTTGAAGGACGAGGGCCTGCAAGCCTGACATAGCTTTATAGTAATATTTTATCCTTATCTGATGAAAAGCAAAAGGTCCAGAATAATAACTTTATAAGAGCTTTACAATAATCCGTAAATTTTTTTCCCTCTTTTTTCTGCCTTCGGTTCTCAAAATTAATTAATGTCCAAAAGAATCATGTTTGAGATTTCACGCGCGAATTGCAAGGATGAATAATGAGTTACCCATTTATAAACTTCCTTTAATCTGCATATGTATAATTTATAAATAATACGATTACTTATAAAGTTTATATTTTATATAAATATTTTTTTTTAGAAATACAAAGGCTGTCTTTGAAAAAAAAGGACTAGTATCTAATCAAAAGTTTTGGACGAATGGACCAAGTTGAGTTTTGCATGGGATTTACAACATTTTCTTTGATTTTTTTTTGGTTAAATTAATATTTGTGCTTCAATAACTCTTATTTGTTAAAGTATATGTGACTTATATATAATGTTTTTATCTATTTATGAATTAATATCTTTTTTATTTAAATGTTACAGCACTTTTAAGTGTATTATTATATATATTTTTGTATATTTTAAGGAAAAACTTAAGTCAAGTTATTTTCATGTATAATTGGAGAACTTGACATATTAAATATAAATCACTTAATATAAGTATTGTTCATATTTCAACCATAATTGGATTTACTTCAATTTAACTATGATTAAGGACCCATTTAGAACAGTTTATAAGTATGATTACGGAATATTAAGTAAGCATGTGAAAAGAGTTTTGCCTTGACTTGCGTAAAATTTGCTTATAAGTGATTTCAATCGTAATGGCAAACAGAACCTAAATCACTAACTCTGGGACATTCTCTCAATTAATTTAATTACTAGTTGAATTTTCAGTAGAATAACATTTTGTTTTATTTCATTCCATTATTTGAGTTTTTTTTTTTTGGACTGACATTATTTGAGTTGTACCTGCACTGATAATATCCGGCATTGCCAAATGTTTCGTACCTAACCAACTCACTTTCTTCTTGTTTGATTGCTTATTTATTTATTTTCCTCAGTAGTTAGTAGGGTTCTTGCTCGATTATTCTCCCCTCTCTCTCTCTCTCTTTGTGCTACTCTTTGCTTATTCGTCCCACGCTTCCGCATCTTTCCAATCCCATGTTGCCATGTCGCGCCACCTAAACTGCGGTCGCCTTTTACAACCTTTGTGCTCTCACCTTTTTAACAGGCATAACTTTACGCAAACAAGCGCACCTTTAAATTTCTTTTTATTTTCTAATTTGCAACTTGTCTTATTTTAGGATTTATGATTGAATTATTTAATATTAATTACAACTACTCATACATATTTAAATACTCCTCCGGTCCTAATTATAAGAACCAATTGACTTATTTGAGGAGATTAAGGAAGTAAGTTAAGTTGGTTATTTATAATAAATAAGTGTTGTTATTCCTAAAATATCCTTGCTAATTAAGTATATTGGCTAAAACTATCATTATTAGAAGGATTATCTTGAAAAAAAATGCATAAATATAAGAGAGAAAATGGATTGGGTCTTATAATTAGGACCAAATAAAAAGTCAAATTGGGTTTTATAATAAGGACCGGAGGAGTATAAGGTTAAGATATATCAGTGGCCATCTAAAATATTTTTCCAAGTGTAACTAATGCACTAAAGCATTTTATAGTCCATCTAATTAAGGATGTGTAAGAACCCAATGGTCTAATCTAGTTCAATCTAACTTGAGGTGTTTTAATCCAGTCCAGTTTAATTCAAATAAACAATGTGATAAAAATGAACTAGATTGAACCTGGCTAACTAGTCAAATTGGAGTGAGTTCGAGACCAAGTGGGTAGACTACCTGAAGGTGAATATTTTTAAAAATATTTTGTAATTTAAAATGTTGTTTTTTATTGTTATTTAATATTATTAGAAATTGTTATGGATTTATGATCAAGTTTAATATTTTGGGATGATTTTTATTTGACTATAGGTTTTTGTTGTCCTGGTTGTATTTATTAGTATGAAATATTGATTCCCATAAAGGAAAAAATGTTTTTAAAAAAAAAAATAAAGAAAATTAAGGCTGGCGGACCTTTTTTTTTTTTGCTAAAGCATAGGTATCCTCTATTGGAGGTAATCTTATTCGAGGTACTATCGGGCACTAAATGTTGGCACCTCTCTCAGTAGGAATTCAAACCTTGGTTCGCCACGTTATGAGGGACTAATCCCTTCCACTAGATCCAACTCCTGTTAGTGTCTGGCGGACTTAAGAAACCTAACTAAATACCAACATAACTATACTAGAGGGTGTTTGAGTTCTGTTAAAAAAAAAAAAAAAAAAAAAACTCCCTCACATATTTACTTTATATACAGTAAAAATATTTTTAAAACTATAGTTTAATTTCTATCCAAACACTCTATTAGCATTATGGTTATATGATGAGAGTGTTGTCCTGCGAAAATGCTTATAAATACCTACACATTATAGATCGAAATAAGCCCAAAGTCTTTCCTTATTGTACGGTAGAATTATTTTTTAAAAACTAACTCAAAAGCCGGGGGGAAGAACTCAAACGCGCCCGGTGTATTTGTTGCAGTTTCTGGAAAAGTATACAGCACCCCTGGTCTTAAAAAAAGGTATACAGCGCCCTGGGGCTCCGGAACAAATTCGTGGAACGTTTGAATGGAGTCAAAATTATGATTTTAAAAATAATTTTATGATATGCTACCTCTTATCCTTAATGATCCTGTTTAACTTTTATTTTGATCCTAAATATAAGACTCCAATTCACTTTGTTTCTCATATTTATATATTTTTTTTTCAAAGTAGTCTTTCTAATATTGATAGTTCTAGTCAATACACTTGATTAGCAAGAATATTTCAAAAAAGACAACAACTATTTAGGACAAATAACTAATTCAATTTACTTCCTTAATCTCCTCAAATTAGTCAAATGGCTCTTACAATTAAGACCGGAGATAGTATAAAATAAATATGTCAAAAAAAAATTATTTATGAAAAAGTGCCCAAACACTGCCATCGTTTTCAAGCACACCCATAGCTCGGCGCCGTTTAGAAATTGGAATCTTCACGTAGACTGAAGAGGAGCGACAGATGTTTAGGGTAGAGAGAGCAAGGAGAATGGGAGAAGGGTGAAAGCATGTGGCAATCACACGACCGTACTACAACTCATCATCTCTGTCCCAACAAGACGTGTGTCCCTTCTTCTCCATCTTTTGTCTTCCACCTTCCTCCTTCTGCTTTCCACGTGTTCCCCCCCTCCAAAAAAAAAAAATCTCCCTCCTCCTTCTATCACCCTAATAGTTACTCAAAAGCCTTGGTCCCAGTAGTAGATAAAAAAAAAAAATGTAACCTATTTTTTTGGTTAGAATCTGAAGGATTAAAAGTTGATGAAAATAAGCGTCTCAAAGTGTTCCTAATCCTTAAATAAAAAAAGTGCAAATAAGCTTTTATATAAGTAAATCATAAGCTAATAAATTAATCCTAAAATCTTATCTAATCTAATCGAATCTTACTATCTCATTTTTTTTAAGATATGATAATATAATTATACATGACAGAATGATAATAAAACATAATAGATGATGGTTATTAATTAATTCTAGCATATTTTTATATTCTTAAAACACCTTTATGTATAAAGAGTGTAAATGGAAGAGGGAATGTGATGACAAATCTATGATAGAAAATGAAGAGGAAAAAAAATATTTTTTCCTACACTGATCAATTATCAGCGGAAAAACTATCTATGACTATTATTAAAAGGAGAGATTTGGTAGGAAGGACTAAACCTGCTTGAATAGTCTTAATAGCTCATTGCAGACCTGTAATAGAATAATCAATGTAGATTTTTTTTAAAATCTCTTAAAACTCAATTAAATATTTCTGAAAATCTCTTAAAACTCAATTTATTTGAAAATTATGCGTCACGACTATACATAGGATTGGCCAAACTTTGAAGATCCTTATTAGAACAATAATCAATGCTTACATTCTTGAAGATATTTTGAAACTCTTACAGTTTTTGGGATTTACACTAAACTTCAATAATTGGTCCTTTTGCTCAAATTTCTTGCCATTAGTAGTCTGTAGACATTTATTACTTTTAACTAAATTTAACTAATATTTTAAACTATATGACTTTGATAGTTGTTTGACGGAGTTGATATTATATAATTGACATATCATATGGCATATTTGGAATTTATACACCCATGTGGAGCCCTGTCCAAAAATGTCCATGCATGTGCGCATGTGAAATGTGAGAAACCATGCATGTTGTTGTTGTCTTGATAGCATTTTTTTTTTTCATTTAATGTAATTAAACACACACGCATCCAAATATGATAATGTCATTTTGAATTTAAGATCTTATCTAAATGTAGTGGGTGGTGTTGTCGTTGAAATAATTAACTATTGACAATTTTGATAGCTTTTAATATGATTAGAAAACCAATATTATGATAGGAAAACCAGTAAAAATTGTAAAATTTCTTATTCCTTGATCCGCACCTTAATGTAAGATCTGATTAGAGAATTGATGTTGGTCTTATATGTAAGACCTATTTCGTATATTTATCAATTTTTTTTCAAATTAACCTTGTTGATATTCCCCCCAACAATAATCAAGTATGAGAAGGAAGGAGGGAATTAAAAAAGATCTTACGATGTTTTAGAAAAAACATATCATATTAATCAATTTAAGTAATATTTTAAATCTACTCAAATTAGTTAATTAAATATTAAATTAAGAACAGAAGGAATGATATTTTTTAAAGTTCCTCTTAAGTATTCTTTTGCCTTATTTTTTGCTTATTTAATTTTTCTCTATTCCCAAACCAAAGCTTAATGTCACTAGTTCACATCTTGTGTGCGTTAAATTAATGGCAATATATTTATTAAAAAAAACCATATATATGAATTATTTTAAATTGCGTTATAAATACACATAATCCATTACAATTATAATCAGTTGTAAACTTGGAATGATGCATGGTGGATTACCCCCTAAACATTTTGAATATTAATGCATGGATACACTTAAAATGATGATATTTACTATGAAAATAAAATACACTGATGATGAGAAAAATGTATATAATTATAAAAATAAAGAATTTTAATTAAAAAAAGAACTCTAAAATGCGCTAATATAACGAACCTCAATATATATTTATATAGAGAGAGACAGTAAGGCTTGTCGTGAATGAACAGTAACACACGTGACACTCCCAACACGTCAGGGCTACGTGGAAAATACTTGTATATATATATTTTTTGTTAAAATAACAATTTATGGATTATGATAAATAATAGTTTGGCGTACATCCATAATCTAAGTTTGGGGCCACTTTTATATATGGAAGATGGTAAGATTCCCGGGTGATGAGGAAATATGTCATTATCTATGAATTGGAGGACAAGAAGATTGGAGATTTGGAGGTATTATCTATGAATTGTTGTGACCCTATTCGCGCAAATAATGCAGAGACACAAATTCCCTCTGCTCCCTCCTCTCCCTTTCCATATTCTTCAAATTTCTAAACGAAAATCACTTATTTTTCAACTGACATTGACTATTGACTTAAAAAAATTGTCTAATCCCTCCGCACGGGTTATCCAATCTCAAATAACAAGTAATTTTTCATAAAAAATAGTTATTTTGACCTCTTATTCTTAATGTTTCTTATCAAACAGAGTCTAAAAGTTTATTTTTCTTGGCTAAACCGGTATTGATTAAGAAGGTATTTGGATGGAAACCAAACCATAATTTTAAAAATAATTTTATGGCATACAAAGCAAATATATCAAAAAGTTTGTCTCGATTTACAGAAAAGTGTTTTTTAAAACTACTTTTATGGTTTTCCAAACACTTCTTGAGCCACATGAACTTTTAGGCAATGGCATCATAATGTGTTCAAAGTGCTGGCTTGTATTTTTCAGTCATTATAATATATTCGTCTAATTTAAAAAAAAAATACAAATTCTAGCTACGTCATATACACACAAACAATTATAGTACGTTTTAAGTTTGGCATGATAAAACTACTATGGTTATTTTTAATCCTTTAACTTTACACAAAGTTTTGATTTAATCCCTTAACTTTAAAAAGAAAATTTTTAATCCTCTGACCTTAAAACTATTAACAAAAAATAATGATATTCAGCTCTTAAATACTAGTAAAACATTACTAAATATTAAAATATTAAGTTTAATATTCAAAACAACTATGATTGTTACAAAAAATAATCATTTAAGACTAACAATTTTGGGATTCAATGGCCAAAAGTATATTTTTTAAAGTTAATAGACCAAATTGAAACCTTACATAAAGTTAAAAGACCAAATATATACTTTAGCTAATTACTAATTTTAATAAGAGTGACTTTTAAGTCTTGATGGAATTAACATTATTTATATTTCTTTAAAATGTTTTTGAAAAAAAGTTATAGTTGTACATAGAAATTTCAGTTACAAATTAAAATTTATATTTAAAATTTAAATGTTTTATCTATAATTGAGATTCTTGAATTTGTATTTTTTCTGAATCGATATTTTATATGTTTATCAATTTTTTTTACAATTAACGTTATTGATATTCACCTCAATAATAGTCAGGTATGAGAAGAAATGAGGGAATTAAGAAAAATATTTAAGGTGTTTTAGAAGAAAATCATATCGTATTAATCAATTTAACTAATATCTTTAATCTAATCAAATTAATTAATTAGATCTTACATTAAGGATCGGATGAGGATTATTTTTTAAATTTTTCTTTTTTAGTATTCTTTTGCCTTATTTTTAGCTCATTTCTCTATTTC